ATAAAGTGATATCTTATTTTAATATTAAATTAACAGATAAATGTGACTTTTACTAAGAATGGAATTTGCAATTGTTATACAATGTGTGACTAACCAGTGTAATTATAATTAAATATTTTTACATTTCCGCTGTTAGAACACAGCAGTGTGTAATCACAAATTTACAGGTGTGTATGGCAAATACAGTCCGTGCTCTGTATCCATTGATAATTGGTTCCAGGATCCTGCAGATATTCAAGTCCCTTATATAAAATTGCACAGCATTTGCACATAACTTACACACATCCTCCTGTATGCTTTAAATCATATATAGACCAGTACTCTACTGTACTGGAAACGAAGGTTTGACGCAGTAACACATTGAGTAACAGCAAGTTACAAACCTTGTACTCATACAAAATATGGTTAATTCTAAGAACTTTAGAAGAACTTTCAAAATAAATGTAAGTAATCAATGTGCTGTTAGTACATTACACTGTACTTAGTAGTATAGGTGCATGAGAAAAAGGTGTCCAGGGAAGGGAAAAGGGAAAAGATCTATGACAGGGACATTTTTAGCTAAAGTGAGCATTTGTTGACCTTACAGTTACACAAAGTGACATTGCTGTCAGTAGTCTGTGTTTGTTTTTCAAAAACATATATTTTAATATTATGTTAATTAACTGCATTTTTTATCTCAGCAGAGTGGTATACGTGAAGCTTACCCACAGCTAATTAAAGACACAATATGAGGAAAATGAGGAAAAATAAGTACGAATACTTTGTGAGCATGCAGGAGTTGTGCTCACTCCATTACGGGAAGGACAAAATGAAGGGTGTGATGTGACTGATGTCAAATGTCTTGTTTATAAGTTAAATAAAACGTGTACAGTAGTTTATTCTACATTTCTGTTGTTTGATCAATTTTATGTACATATTGAAGATAGGGAGAGGGAAGTCTGGGTTTCCCTGCTGAGACTGCTGCCCCCACGACCTGACTTCAGATCCAGCGGAAGATAATGGATGGATGGATGGATATTGAAGATAGCCAAGGGGCACTTGGATGATGTGAAAATAGTCTACATCCCATCAGACAAAATGGTATAGGATGTATAAAATGCATTTTTAAACAAATGTCATTACACTGATATATTCATGAGTTTACCTACTCAGAATTAGACAAAAAAAAACAAAAAACGTTTTTTGCAATATCAGTGTGAGGCAAATTGAATTACCACACTGAAGACACCAAAGGCACTCCATATTGAGAAGGACCCAAATATTATAGCCTAATCTTTTGAGGTGCAGTAACGATTTCATTGCTTGGTGACATTGAAATAGCTTCATTTATCATACAGTTGCTTCACGTTATAGAGAATATGCAGGTTTTCCTGTAACTCTTATTTTAAATAAGTGAAAAGGCTTTTCGTGAAATACGATAAATATATTACGCATTTAGCATGTTTGGCAGTTAGCTTTGCCTGTTTATTAAAATGTGCGACGCGCAAAAATCAGCTTTCAACACATATACCGGAGCCAATTAATGAAAACATCAACGAAGAGAATAAAGAGCGCACAGGGTGCTTGGGATGCGGGAGCGGCGTTGCTAAGCAGCATCTGGGCCGCGGTCCTGGAGAGCATCATAGCTGCGCGGCCGCCAGCGGAAGATCGGCTACAGCTGCGGTGGGGACGGACGGGGGGTCGTCCGCAGTTGTTGCGAGTCTGTGATGCCGCGAACCTGTTTCTTTCCACTGATGTAAACGGTCCATTTCCCAGCGCTCCGCTGCGCCTAATGAAACGCCGTCAGGGAGGGAGACGGAGCTCCATGCAAGCCGTGCTGCCGATCGGCCAACACCGCATTCGTCCATTAGGTGAATATTTCGGCCGCCGAGATGTAGAAATGGTCAATGGCTGCTATATGTACTGTATTCTTGAAAGATGGCATCCACTGTGCAGGAGAGCCGTTAGTAACCCATTTTACCGTCGGACATCTGCTTATGTGGGTTGTCTGACGTCGCAGTTTGCTCGGTGAGACACGGTATATATATAGTTTACATATATATAAAATGGGCGCTTCTATTTTTCCGTTTCAATATTGTGACTCCAGTACGGCATCACCGTTCATTTTGGCCGGTAGAAATAGCATTTCCTTGCATGTGGTGAAACGCAGATAATACAAGAAAAGATTAATTCGATTTATGTAGTTATTTATAGGTATGATGAGCTGGCCGTGTACATGCAAGCATCCTGACCCGGTGTCTCCGTCTGTCCTGCTGCTTGCCTGCATGTCTGTGTACATGTCTGTCTCTCTGTCTGTCTCTGGGCCTGTTTGTTTCTCTGTCTGCCTGTTTACCTGTCTGCCTGGCTGTCTGTCTGTCTCCCTGTCTGTTTCTCTGTCTCTATGTCTGTCTGTCCTTCTGCCTGCCTACATGTCTGTCTGTCACGCTACCTGTCTGTCTCTGCCTGCCTGACTATCTCTTTGTCTCTGTGTGTCTGTGTGTCTCTCTGTCTGTCTGTCCTCCTGTCTGTCTGTTTGTCTCTGTCTGTCTGTCCACTCTCTCTGTCTGTCTGTCTCTCTGGCAGCTTCCCGCCCCGTGAGACCTGCAGACTATGGGGTCCCCTTTCCGGAGTGAGGAGATGTGCCTGGCACAGCTGTTCCTGCAGTCGGGCTCCGCGTATGACTGCATCAGCGAGCTAGGGGAGCTGGCCCTGGTTGAGTTCCGTGATGTGAGTGTGCCTCCCCAGGCTCCTCCATAATGCAGGGACACAGTGGCATGCGAAATGGCTGCAGTTTAAGGTCACACTTCTTCAGTTTTTGTGTTTCAAAGAGGAAAGAGGGGTGTTAGGTCAAGTCCCATGGCCCCCTCCCACACAGTCAGGCCTCCAGCCGCCTCTCATGCCCTCTTCTCTCTCCTGCTCCAGCTCAACCCCACTGTCAGCTCCTTCCAGCGCAAATTTGTCGGGGAGATCAAGCGCTGCGAGGAGATGGAGAGGATCCTTGGTGAGGCATCTCATGATTCAGAAAGAGCTCAGACTTGTACCCCACCCTGTACACCAAATTGTACTCCACCCTGTATCTTGCCCTGTACCCCACTTTGTACCAAACCCTAATCTCACACTCACCCTATACAGTGCCCTGCACCCTGCCCTGTGCCGCACCTTGTACCCAACCCTGTATAACACCCTGTACCCCACTCTGTACCCTGATTGTGTGTGTGTGTGTGTGTGTGTGTAAGGGAGCAGTGTATCTGTGTCTTTCACTAATAACCTTCTAGGCGTCCTGTTCATACACAGACATCCTACTCCCTTTACACTGCCCCTTAGTGCCCCTCAGTGCCCCCTTTACACTGCCCCTCAGTGCCCCTTAGTGCCCCTCAGTGCCCCCTTTACACTGCCCCTCAGTGCCCCTTAGTGCCCCTCAGTACCCCCTTTATACTGCCCCTCAGTGCCCCC